TACTAATATATATATATATATATATTGTTTATATATATATATATATATATATATAAAAGGACCGCTATAAAGTTTTTAGTCATTCGTCGTACTTGTATTTATTCAAATATATTTAACTATCAAGGATTGTTTCAAAGTATCATTCGTCAATTCTGTTTTCTGGCAATTAAATACAGCATGATAATGAGAATAGCGGATTTGGGGCCCGCTCTATTCCTCCAATGGGAGGCGAATCCTGCACTTCCCTTGATCGTCAGGTATGCGCGTGAGATATATCATTCTCGTCTAAGTGCGATTTTTAGACAATGAATGATTTAATTTTTAAAAATCTGTTGAAAGATGTTTTTAGTATACGCGTGTGGTATATCATGTTTGTCTCAGTGATTTTAGTCTCTATAAGTTCTATTTTTGGGAATTTGAAAGAAGTGTATAGTAGGTGCGTGTAGGGTATATCATGTTCATCTCTGTGCTATTTTTGAACATTCTATGTGGTACTTCTAAGACCATGAAGGGAATAGTCGTGGATTTGGATGTTGTATGATAGTTTCACTCGATACCACGCTCATAGGCACAAATGCCTGCACTACCCACACTGTCACCTATAACTGCTGCCATATCTCCTGACTATAGTCACCAGCTCATGACCATGGCCATTTACATACATATACACTACAGTATGGTATGTTCTCTCCTGCAGGACACAAACACACCGCAGCACCCAGACATTGCCTACAAGGGCAATGTGTTCAGAGCGGTGGCTGTGCTTGAGGGTATGGATGTGCTTAGCGTACCTCCAGTCAAGAGAGAAGACGAAACCTTTGCACCTGAGCATGTCACCAGGTGTGTACTTTAAAATCCTAAAACCCTATAACCTCAAATCATCCACACATGAGTATCTCACAAGGTGTGTGGTATGATAGTGAGTAAAAAAAATATTTTTTGGCTATACCATAAATGCATGGCTATATCGTATATTGCATTCAATGTATCATATTCTTGACTATACCATTTATGTATGACTATATCGTATATTATATTATAGTGTAGTAGATCATATTTTTGGTTATACCATATATATGTATGACTTTATCGTATATTGTATGATAGTGTATTATATTATATTCTTGACTTTACCATATATGTATGGCTATATCGTATATTGTATTATAGTGTAGTAGATCTTATTCTTGGTTGTACCATATATGTATGACTTTATCGTATATTGTTTTATAGTGTATTATAATATATTCTTAGCTATACCATATAAGTATGGCTAAATAAAGGCATCAAAGCCGCCCGCGCCGAAATGCTTTTCATGTAGTACAAGTACACACACATTCAGAATAAAAATATTTATAGATTCAACTTATCTATTTATATATTCACTACAATCTGAGTACACGTACACACACACCTACAGGTATTCTATTTATAGATTTATCTGACGTAATTACATCTTTGCTACAACAACCCAGAGACCTCAAAGCCGCCCTGGCCGAAATGCTTCACACGTGGCCCAAGCGCGGCAATGAGTTCGAATACAACACGTGGCAATACAAAGACTATATCTCTGCGCTCCATCAGATGGTGCATGTGGTGTGCACAACCGGGTCAGCCTTACTGTTGCAGTGTGTGGCACAAGTCGTGTGTTTGGACGAGACCCATCCGTATGATGGTATGTGCATCTCTCATTGTGTGTATGTATGTCTGTCTGTGTTAGATTGCAAGAAATCCACATTTGTCCGACGGAAGCCTAGGGTTTTAGGGATATGTGATTTAGGGTTGATTTATCACCACGTGCACACAGGTTCTATTCTCGATTGTTTAAGATGTTATCTAAGTCACTCACAGTACACACGGTGTTGTGCGGGCTCTGCTATACTGCGTATCGGTTGACTCTACTGTTCTCAATCAGAAACATTGTACTCATTTAGATGCATTGCACTATATCAAGTTATATACCTTGCACACCATTATATCACATTATATACCTTATACTCCATATCCCTTTATACCCATACTTTAGAACCCGTTGTGGCGGGAATGCAAGCAATGGCAGCTAACGTCCAACCAGAACGTGTGAGTGCGATGCTACAGTACTGTATGACTTCCTTCGAAACACACAGCTATCCTCTAACACTACGCGTGGTATGTGGATATTCATATATATATATAAATATATATTGTAATAGGGGTGTGGTCCACAGATAGTAGTGAGCTTGAAGGCTCGTGTGCAGAACTGAATTGTGTCTGGCGCATGCTTGATGGTTCGGGTGTATGAGGGGTGATTTTTTTAGAGTGATGGAGGCATGGGGAAATGTTATGTGTCTTATGATATTGGTTTGTGTCTACAGCTGATTTGCTAAGCATAGACCAATAGAAGAAGAGCATAAAACATTTAGTAGTGTAGTTGTAATAGTATGATGGAATACTTGGTGAGAAAGGAGAAGTTGCGTCAGTGACCAGAGGGTCTGACGGCAGATATATATATCTATTTAT